CAATTGGAACTTGAAGTCACCACACATGGCGTGTTCGGCACGCCTGAGCACCCTCTCATCGGTCCCCCCTCTCAACACCTCCGAGGGATGCTACGCGGAACTGGCGTCGGCACCTTCGATGCGCGTGGCGTGCCACGACCCTACACCCGCGAAGACTTTCTACAGATTTACCCCCATTGGCACGAACCCACGGCAAAACTCACCGTGGAACAGGAGGAAGAATTGGCGCGCCGCGAAGCAGAAGAGCTTCGCCAACAGAGCCTCGCCGAGGCACGCGGAACATTCGCTTGCGCCGCATGGGGCGCCGAAGCAGAAGAAAGCGCCTCCAATGAAGGGGGGTGGGGGAGCGCCGGTGGATGGGGAACGGCCGATACCAGCGAATGGGGCAACACCGGCGGAACATGGGCAACCGGAACCGGCGGATGGGGCGCCGCATCTGGCGGCGAAACGAGTGGCTGGGGCGCCTCTGCTGGAGGCTGGGGGGCTTCCCGCGAAGAACAAAAGGGGGGAGAATCTGCAGTTGTTCCCCTCGGGCGTCCCCCGCGCCATATCCCACTCGCGTCACCTCCCCCTGACATTCCGCCGCACCGCGATCCCTGGGACACTATCCGCTGGGGCAACGAACCATCAACTCCACGCCGCACCGTCTACGGACCTGCTCCCGAACCGCGCGAACCTACTTTCGTCCCCGGAATTATTCCCGGGACCAACATTCCACTCTCTGAGATTCGTGACAGAGAGTTCCTGGCGCTGATGCTAACCGCCGCGGCAGAAGAAGAAGATGCAGAAGAAGCAGCAGCAGAACCTGCTCCCGTACCTGATGAAGACCCTGAGGAAGCCCGCGCGCGCTACGTGCGTACCTCCAGCTTTCGCGCCGACGATGCACTTTGGCACCAGCGCCTCGGACACCCTTCACGCGCGACACTGAAGAACTGCATCAACGCTGGAGTCTTTGCCCCAGGAGCATTGCTCCGCCCCGACGGCACCGAAGTGAGAGGCGCGACACATCCGCGCAACTGCACCGTCTGCCCCGAAGCCGCACTTAGCCACCAGCCGTTCCCACTACTCGAACCAGGGACGAACCGCTACCCCAAGCTGCACAAGGTGTACAGCGATTTTCTGAACGTGGGGCATTGCGGAGTCGACGACGAGCTGCATACAGTTACCTTCATCGACGCTGGAACGCGCTACGTATGGGTCGCAAATGTGGAGACCCGCGACAGAGCTTACGAGGTGTTCCGCCTCTGGTTGGCGCATGCGCAGCGGCAATCCGGGAAGAAGCTAAAAATCTGGCAATCCGACGGCGCAGCGGAGTTTAGGAGCAATCAAATGCAGAGCTACCTGGCGCAAAAGGGGATCGAGCATCACATTTCTCTTTCCTACGTACATCAGCAGCAGGGCGTAGCTGAGCGGACGAACCGCACACTGATGACGAAGGTGCGGGCGCTGATGAAGCAGTCAAAGCTGCCGCCGATTTACTGGACCTACGCGATGCACCACACCGCTAGGGTGCAAAACCTGCTTTCAACCACCGTAATCACCGAGAACCTCTCCCCGCATGTCAAATGGACCGGGACCAAGGGGGATACCTCCATGCTCCGCGTGTGGGGATGCATGGTGCAGTACCGCCCGCCGACATCAACCAACGGCGAATTCGCCAGTCGCGCGCGTTGGGGAGTCCACCTCGGCATCAACCACGAGTACAAAGCGTGGATCGTGCTGGACCTCCTTAGTCTGAAAATTGCCCACGCTCGCGATGTAATCTTCTACGAACGCCTCTTCCTCGACCAATTCCGTCACGACGAGGAAACAAACGGGAATCGCGTTTACGCGAACGACGGGCACAGCTACGCAACGCCCGAAGACGAAGCCGCTGCAGCAATACTGGAGCAGGATACAAGAGGCGAGTTCACGTGGGAGGATCGGCGCAGCAGCGACGACGACGACGATTCCTCAGGAGGAGGAATGGGCGGAACAGGCGGAAGCGGCAGAAGCACAGCACCACCAGCGCCACCCGAACCAGAGAGCGATGACGACGATGTGCAGGAAGTCATCCCGCAACGTCGCCACGACAGCACCGTCTCAGGACTGCAGCTGCTCGGGCTTCACACCGCAACCTCGAAAGCGCCACGTGTCATCGAGCCTCGAAACCCGCGCGAAGCTCTCTCTGGACCACACAGCAAGGAGTGGCGCGAGGCAATGGACGCAGAGATTAACACGCTCGAGTCCCGAGACACCTGGGTGTTAGTCGACCGTGCGGCAATCAAAGGCGCAAGAATCCTCTCGGGCAAGTGGGTCTTCCGCGTGAAGACCGCAGCGGACGGAACGATCGAGCGCTTCAAGGCGCGCTGGGTGGTACGCGGCTACGACCAGAGGCACGGGATTGACTTCGACCAGACGTTTGCTCCAGTCAGTCGTCGTACCTCCGTTCGAATCCTGCTCGCCATCGCAGCTGCAAGGCACCTACCTCTCCGCCAGATCGACGTCAAGAACGCGTTCTTATACGCGCTAGTAGACGCCGTGATTTACGTGGAGCAGCCGCATACATACGGTGAAGGGGACTCGCGCGTGTGCCAACTGCGCAAGTCACTCTACGGGATCAAGCAGGCGCCGAGGCAATGGCAGCAGTATCTGCACAACATCCTGCTTGAAATCGGATTCAAGCAGATGCCGCACGATCCAGGGATGTACCGCCGCGATTTCCGCGGCGAATACATTCTCCTCACGGTGTACGTCGACGACTTGCTCTACACAGGCTCAAACAATAAGCTACTCAAGCAGTTCGAGAAAGCCTTGGCGAGGCGCGTCGACATCACATGCAACTATGAGGTGAAGCAGTTCTTAGGCCTCAACATCTCCTACGCGCCTGAGGCCATTCACCTCTCAGCGGCTAAGTACGCAGAGGAGTTAGGGAAGAGGTTCAACATTTCACCTGCACCTCTCTCAACTCCCTACCGAACCCCTGGACCGAACCACAAACCTGACAACAAAGCCCTATCCCCTGCTGGAATTCAGACTTACCAGCAGCAGCTGGGATGCCTGCTCTTCGCCTCTGTCACCTGCAGGCCAGATCTCTCCTACATCGCAAGCCAGTTGGCCCAGTACTCACGCAAACCAACGGCTGAGAACCTTCTGGATCTGCAGCGCGCCCTGCAATTCTTCGTCTCGACGCCCAAGATCAGGTTGTGCTACTCAACTGCACCAACCCCATCCTTCAATCTCATCGGCTACGTGGATGCCGATCATGCAGCAGATCCCGACAATCGACGGTCCAGGACTGGCTTCTTGTTCCGACTCGAACCGACGGGACCAATCTCCTGGAACTCGCAGAAGCAGGAGCTGGTTGCCCTGTCATCAGCCGAAGCGGAATTCATCGCAGCAACCACAACAGTTCGCGAAGGACTCTACTTACAGGAACTCGTGTTGGAGGCGAAAATCCCAGCTTCGCCCACCTTTCGTCTTCACTGCGACAACCAGAGCGCGATTCGGATCGCGAACAAACCTGGTTTCGTTAACCGCACCAAGCACATTGCGCTGCGGTATTTCTTCGTGAAGGACGAGGTGGACAAGGGCAAGGTCAACTTGACTTATTGCCTAACCAGTGACATGGCGGCAGATTTCCTTACCAAGCCACTGCCACGTCAGCAGTACCAGCACTGCTCCGAACTCAGCGGCGTGGTCAAACAGGTCAAGTCGAGCTACGGCCAGGAGTGAAGGGGGGTGTTACGAATAGTAAAAAATATTTGTTTATTTCTGTGCACTCCTCGCCGCAGCAAAGGGAAGCACGCAGTATCGAAAGTGAACACGAAGAGTCAAAGTTGACTCGAAGCGTCAGACGGTTAAGGCGCATCTGGACCTTCGGAGTAAACGGCATCAGGCAGCTGCAGGCAGGATGGTTTCGGCGGGAACAGTTTCGCAACTGTACGCGCCGCACGGTTGGGAATGAATTTGAATAAGGGAATGTACCCCTTAGAGTACATGGCTAGCTAGGTCTCTTCGTCTTCCCTGTACTCATATTTATACTTGCTGTATTTGCATGTTTTATTCATCTCAAGCATTTTACATCCACTCTGCTATTGAGGTCAAGGGCCCACCAACTTCATTTCTCTGTGTGCGAACCTTCCCGAGTAGATCCTGGGAACGATCAACTTCTGATCGTAGCAATTCCTATCCGCACGTTCTGTAATGCCGAATAATGACATGCACGTCAGCAATTCTTGCCTCAAGGGCGGCAAAAACGCGTGACTGATGCGGCATCTTGACTCCCTTGACCACAAATTCGTCTGACCAAGTGAATTTGGTGGTTTTTTGAGTGACTCGCTAACCAGCTCATGAACTCAACACCATTCATGATAGCACGTTTCAAAAGAGGGGGGGTCTTATATTTATTAGGGTCAAAAGACGGGTCCTCTCCAGGAATGACATAATTAAAGACCCCTGGTCTGGATAGAAGACCCATGGGACTTGTATGCGGGGGGGTCTTCAAACCGGGAGCTCACGGGTACACGGATAAGGGTTAGACTTTAAAATTTGTTAGAATGTGTGAGCAGGCTGGATATTGTAGCCAGGAAGTAATGAATAGTGCTAGAGGTACTGTGACAGGTAATAGGATTTGTTGTGCCCAGCACAACACGCCTATCACACCTTTTAATGTTGTTGCTGTCCGGGCACCGCAAACAAACAAACCAGTGCACCAATCACTCTCCAATCAAACTCAACATGTGCCTTGAGCAATGGGAACCCTTGCAGTCAGGCATTTTTCCCTCTAAGAAAGGCACCGACTCGCTCCATGCAAGTGGGAGTGAGTGAACTCGGGAAAAAAAGTAATGACTAGCCAGCCAGCCATAAGCAGTCCAGGGATAATGCGGTCATAAACTGCTGCTTGATTCGCTCAGCGGCTGGGAATGGCAAGCGTGCGAGCACCACGCCAACAGCTGCACGCACGCATGCATGTGAGCGCTCTCCTCTCCTCCTCCCTGCTGCCCCCACAACCCCTTGCTTCAGCTCGGACTATCCACCTTTCCCTCGCCCTCGCTTCTCTCCCCTTCCTCCACCCCTTCGCCTCCTGCCCTCCGCTGCCGCCCCGCCTCCACCTCCCCATCCTCCTCTGCCTCTCCTGACAACCTCCTTTCCCTTCTCTCCCCTGCCCCTCCTCCCTCCCCCTCCCCCTCCCCGTCCCCTTCCCCTTCCCTGACCCACTCTCCCGCCCCTCCCCGCCCATCCCCACGGCCCCTCTCGGTCCCTCCCATGCCAAACGCACTCTGCTCCATTCCACCCTCCCCATCCCCCCCTCCCCCTTCCTCATCCCCTCTCGCCCCGCCGTCCACCCCACCGCCCCCAGTGCGCCCCTCCACCCCAACCTCCTCCCCATCAGTGTCATCAGCTCCGTCCCCTACCTCCTCTCGCCTCCTCTTCACCCGTCTCTGCCCCTCCTCGCCCTGCTCGCCCTCCTCCTCCCCATCTTGCCGCTCCTGCCCGTCCCCTTCAGACAACTGCTGCTCATGTGTCGCCTGCTCCTGGCCCTTCTCATCCTCCTCCTCCACGCCCTCCTGCTGCTCCTGCGCCACCTCCTCCCCCGCTTGCTGAGCGCCCAAGCCCAGGTGGTGCAGGTGCTGCAGGTGGTGGGGAGGCAGGCGTGCGGGCTGGGCGGGGAACCCCACTTCAGTGGCGTCTGCTGCCGCAGCAGCCGTGCTTGCAGGGCCCTGCGAGGGAGAGGAGGGGCAGAGGCACACACGAGAGGGTGACGGTGAGAAGCGAGCGGGCGGGAACCCCACTTCCGTGGGGTCTGCTGCCACAGCAGCGGCGCTCGCAGGGCCCTGCGTGGGGGAGGGGCCGTGGCACACACGAGAGGGGTAATAGTGAAGGGTGGCAGTGAGGGGTGGCAGTGAGGGGTGGCAGTGGGGGGGTGAAGCAGGAGAAGCGGATGGTCTGCGTGGCAGCAAAGGTGGCGCACACGTGGGCGGGCAGGAGGTTGGGCCGGAGCAGTGGGGTGCGAGGCACATGTGGGGTGCGAGGCACATGTGGAATAGGTGGCACACGTGGCACACGAATTCACCACAGTGCGAACCTACGTGCCTGCCAGCATCGCTTTCACCTCACGCTCGCAGCGGAGCTGACCATTCGCTAGAAATGAGCCGAGCAGGCTACCAACCAGCCGGGCCGGGGAAGGGGAGAACTTGAAATGTGCAAGTGCAGAGTTGCGACAGCAGCTTGGGGAGAACTCCCTCGGGGCTTTTGAGGCGCCTCAAAAGTCGTCTCTTATTCCGACAGCAAAACTCCCTCGCGGCCCTAAGGGCTCAGAGATGCAAGCTAGGGATTCTCTCCACTGCGATTTTTGAACTACTTCCAGCATCGCTTGAACTGGGCAAGAGGGGTTTTACCCACCTGTTGCAAGAAGCGCGGCTGCTGCTGTGCTGCCTCCTCAACCTGCTCCTGCTGCTCTCCCTGCTGCTGCGGCACTTGATGTTGCAAGCCTGCCCCCCCACCTGCCTCTGCCTCCGCCTCTGCACCTGCCCCCGCACCTGCCCCCGCACCTGCCCCCATGCCCGCTGCCATGCCATGCATCGCTGCCATTGCAGATCCTGCTGCGCCCCCTGCTCCCCCTGCCCCCCCTGCCGCCCCTGCCGCCCCTGCTGCTCCGGGTTGCACCCCTTGTGGCGCGGATGGCAGGTGCGCGAGCACGGGGATGGCAGGCGGGCCCTTGCTGAGATCCCGCAACACACCCTGTGGGTGGGGAGGGGGGGAGGGAGGTGGAGGGGGGTGAGAGGGAGAGGTGGGGAAGGGAGTGGTACAGGAAAGGGCAGGGGAGGGGAGAGAGGGCCGAGAGGAGGAGAGGATAGAGTAGAGGTGAGTGGAGGAAGGCAGTCGGGTCGCAGCCTGCAGTGGCCGAGCGAGGAGGGCAGGTTGATGGGTGGAGGAGGGCAGGTTGATGGGTGGAGGAGGGCAGGTTGATGGGTGGAGGAGGGCAGGTTGATGGGTGGAGGATTGGCGAGACAGAAAATCTGATGGGATGGCATGGGTGAGGCAGTAAGTGTTGGCCCACGTGAGCCCCCACGCACCTTGTTGGCCCACATGAGCCCCCACGCACCTTGTTGGCCCACATGAGCCCACATGCGTTGCAGAGCGTGCGTGGCCCCTGCGGCCCGCGGCGCATCATGGGAGTCGCCTTCTCCCCCGTGCCACAGTGCTGGCAGCTGCGAGCATGGTCGTGGGGGGGCATGCATGGTGGGAGGGGCATGCATGGTGGGGGGGCATGCATGGTGGGGGGGGCATGCATGGTGGGGGGGGCATGCATGGTGGGGGGGGCATGATGGTGGGGGGGGCATGCATGGTGGGGGGGGCATGATGGTGGGGGGGGCATGCATGGTGGGAGGGAATCGTATGGAATGGGCCAACGGTTTCTTCTCTTCACTGCTGCTTTTCTGCTGTGACGTAGAGTGGTGGGAACGATGAGAGGGACGCGGGGGATGGAAGGATGGGTCGATGGTAGAGATGGGTTGGGCGTGAGGGATGCAAGGGCGAGGGCGGCTCACATGGCTTCAGGGGCTCACATGGCTTCAGGGGCGGCATCAGGGCGGTCATGGGTGGCGCTCTCCCCCATGTCGGCCGGCGCGTCCTCAAAAAAGGCGCCCCCCCCTCGGTTGGACGCAAACTGCCCCTTTTTGCGACACATCCTGCTCGCCCCCGTGCATGCGCGGGCCATGGCGCGTGCGGAGAGGGAACAGGCAGGGGGCAGGGAAACAGAAAGGAAAGATGGTGAAGTAGCATCCCTAGAGATGCCATGCCCCACACAACCATGCCCCACACAACCATGCCCCACACAACCATGCCCCACACACACAACCATGCCCCACACCACACCATCTGCGCCACCCCTTTGAGCCCTTGAGCATCTTACGTTTGAAACTCGCAGGTGAAAGAACCTACTTGTGGTCTGTAAATTTTTCTTCTCATGAGGAAACAGAAGGTGTGCAACTAGTTTCGGCGTATAAGTCCTTCTGACACCATATGAGACCTTAAGACATAAAACATGACCTTAGGGGATGGAGGGATTTGTCATCATTTAGGTTGCAAGACTCCCTCGGTCCCGAAAAGAAACGATGGTACCTATGCTACAGTGCACTTCAGCACTTACAAGCAAAAAAAAAAGAGCTTGAAACTGTTGTTGACTTTCCTCCCTGTGAACAAATTTGCGTGTCATTGTCTCCAGGTGTTTTTTCAAGAGGCTCAAGATACACGAGCATCTAATGGCATGCAATTCTAAGGTCGTATCTCAGCCTAGTGTCAAGAAGTTGGTGGCAAGAAGTTTGCGCACGCGATTGGTCGAAAACAGACGCCCGGCCAATGCGATTAGTCTAGCGTTCTTTTTAACCAATCACGTGCGCGAACTTCTTGCCACCAACTTCTTGAAACTAGGCTGGGATACGACCTAAGAAGACTACAAAACAAAACCTCACCTCTGCGCCACCTCCTTGCGCACGCTGTAGCGGATCTTCTTGTCGAAGTTGCGCTCCTTGCGCTTCTCCCGGAAACGGTTGAGCGACGCCAGGCGCTGCGGCTGGTTCAGCCGCACCGGCAGGTCGCCCCCCACTCCCCCCCCCAAATGCTGCGAGCCATAGGCGGGTTGTGCGCGTGACAGGGAGGACGCAGGTACATATGGAGCGAGGGAGATGGGAGGGCAGGGGCGCGGGTGTGAGGAGAGGGGTGGGAGGGACGAGGGGGCCAAGGGGGACGGAGCAGAAAGAGCATAGTGACAGATAAGAGGGAGAGAACACCATGGGTGGGTGGATGGATGGATGGATGGATGGATGGATGGATGGATGGATGGATGGATGGATGGATGGATGGATGGATGGATGGATGGATGGATGGATGGATGGATGGATGGATGGATGGATGGATGGATGGATGGATGGATGGATGGATGGATGGATGGATGGATGGATGGATGGATGGATGGATGGATGGATGGATGGATGGATGGATACGATTGAAAACTATTAAAGGAAAGGCAACGGACAGGAAAGGGAGGCTGAAGGGCGAACACAAGTTCAGAGGCACAGCAACCTAAAGGAGACACAGCGAGCAGCGGTGAAGGTAGGTGAAGGTGGGTAAAAGTGGGTAAAAGTGGGTAAAAGTGGGGGTGCATGGCGTCGCCTGCACGTGCATGGAGGCAGGAAGATGAGGGGAAGGGAACGGAAGGAGGGACGCCCGTAGGACAACGAGAAGGAATGTAGGGCGTGGGAATGAGAGGCATGCAGGAGATGGGGAGGAGAGGACGAGGGCAGGAGGTGGGAGGGATGAGAGCGGGGAGGGCGGGTAGGAGGAGGGCGGAAGAGCGGGAAGGGGAGGGGAAGGGGGAGGGGGAGGGAGAGGGGGAGGGGGCAGGTGGTGGCGGCACCTTGAAGTGGTGCTGGGGAACACTGCCGGCCATGGATGGCGGCACCTCCCTTCCTCCCAGCAGCAGCAGCACCGCCTGCACCTGCATCACAGCGAAACCAGCACGCAGGGCAGGGAGGGCAGCATGGGAGGGCAGCATGGGAGGGCAGCATGGGAGGGCAGCATGGAAGGGCAGCATGGGAGGGCAGCATGGGAGGGCAGCATGGGAGGGCAGTATGGGAGGGCAGCATGGGAGGGCAGTATGGGAGGGCAGTATGGGAGGGCAGCATGGGAGGGCAGCATGGGAGGGCAGCATGGGAGGGCAGTATGGGAGGGCAGCATGGGAGGGCAGTATGGGAGGGCAGCATGGGAGGGCAGCATGGGAGGGCAGCATGGGAGGGCAGTATGGGAGGGCAGTATGGGAGGGCAGTATGGGAGGGCAGTATGGGAGGGCAGTATGGGAGGGCAGTATGGGAGGGCAGTATGGGTGAGCAGGGCACATGAGCACTGCCTTCCCTCGTGTGCCATGTGTCATGTGCCATGCCTTGCGCAACTTCGCCCCTTCACAAAAAACTCTCCGAATATGTGGCAATGAAACATTTATCCTATGTGCGATGTGGTACATGGAGGAATCATACTGTAACAAGCAATCCAGCTCCAATACCTCCCCTAAAACGCCTTCGCATCTAGTTCATAAAGGCATCGCATCCCCCCAACCCACCTTTCCATCCCCACACAACAGCCCTCACCGTGCACCACCTCACCGTGCACCACCTCACCGTGCACCACCTCACCGTGCACCACCTCACCGTGCACCACCTCACCGTGCACTACCTCACCACCCCTGCGCTCTGCACTCCTCCCATCCGCGCAGCCCGTTGCCCCAAACTGCCCATACAGCCCCTCCCGTGGGCGCGGGACACCTTTTCGGGCAGCACGCAGTCGAAGCGTACAGCTCCCAATTCCCCCCTCCCCTTCCCCCCTCCCCTTCCCCCCTCCCCTTCCCCCCTCCCCTTCCCCCCTCCCCTTCTCCCCTCCCTTCCCCCTCCCCTTTCCCCCCTCGCTCCCCCCTCCCCGCGCGGCGCACCTTTTCGGGCGGCACGCAGTCAAAGACGTACACCTCGCCGTGGTACGACAGCGACAGCATGTTCGGCCCGCCGCCGCGAATCGCGCCGCCCATTCCGCCGTCGCCGGCGGCCATGGCGCCGTCGTGGTCGTGCTCGCCCGACCCCGCGCCGCCGTGCTCGCCGCCGCCGTCGTCGTCGTCGCCGTCGTCCATCACGCCCTCCTCACCCTCCGCCACGTCCACGTCATCCATGCCCACCTCCACGTCAGCTCCGCCGAGGTGCTGCACGAGCGCGAGGTGTTGCTGATGATGACGTGGCGGCTGATGCTGGGAAGTCCCCGGCTGCGCGATACCCATGCCGAGGCCTTGCTGCTGCTGTTGTTGCTGTTGCTGCGCGGGCTGGTGCTGCAGTGCGCGGTGTTGCTGTACCTGGTGCTGCTGCGACGGGTGCTGCGACGGGTGTTGCGACGGGTGCTGCGACGGGAGCGCATGTGGCGGCGCGTGCTGCTGCGATAGCTGATGATGAAGGCCCTGCGGCGGCGGCAGCGGCGGCTGGAGGTGGTGCGGGTGCACGTGGGCCAGGGCGGCGGGGTAGTGCGGTTGGAACGGCAGCGACGCGGCGTGCATGCCGCGCGCCTGCAGGTCCAGCATCATGTGGTGCTCCGCCATGCACGCCCGCGCGACGACGGCGCGCGTACCTAGCTGCTACAGGCGCGGAGAGTTGTGGCAAGGCTGACCAGAACGCGATGCGTGACGCGCTCACGTTCTTATTCAATGTGTTCCGTTCGTTCGCAAGTTTTAATCGCAAATACACTGGCGCGGCGAACGACAGAGCGCGATACCTCGGAACGCGAAGAGTAAAGCTCGCATAGAGTTAAAGCCAAGAGTAGCGTCAAACGAGAGACAACCACATTGAGGGTTTGGTGTCGCGGTTCGGATAGAGGAGGATTCTAGAATCTTCGAACAATTGAATTTTTGAAGGGTACCTATGAAAAAGGGTTGCACGAGTTGCTGCATTTGCGACGTAAGAAAATTATAATTTCGTTACAGTCGTTCACGTCACGACACACAATCTTGGAGTACACTTCAGCGAGTCATTCCACCCCCACAAATTTCACGAGCACATGCTGCTAGTCAGCGGTCTAGGGTTTACTTTCTCTCCCTTCACAATAATCTCGCTACTTGATCCGCTCTTCAGCTCGTACCCGAGTCGCTGCGCCCTTTCCAATTCGATCCGCTCGTTGCGCTCACCGCCTACACCTGCGAGAATCGTCGTCAATCAAGGCGGGCCGTTAGCGACGTGCGATGGCAGCGCAGCCGGCACAGCCGGAGGAGTGGGCGGCGGTGGAGCAACAACCGGAAGTGTCGCGGTCCGTCATCACCTCGGCGATCGACCGGCTGATTGAGCAGGCACGCCTAGGGTTTCTTACCATCACCCCAGCAGAGTCGTCGAGGTTTGCTGACTTGGTCTTTTCACGCGTCGACGTTTCTATGGGAGCCAGTTGTGTGTGGGGCGTTGGTAGCTAATGCAGTGGCAGTAGTACGTCGCATGCCGTAAGGGATGCGCCATCGCCGAGCCTCTGCCATCCGTCACACGCGAGCATGTCCGCGACCCGCCGCGACCGTCGGGCAATCCGAGTGCATCTCGCTGGTCCGCGGCATCGTCGATTAACGAGTGGGTGACGTGCTCGGTGTTGGCGCGTTCGCACACTGGCCGGGTCAACGCACGCGTTCGCGTGCGGGGCGGGCGTGTGTGGCGAGCGTGTTGACGTGTAGCGGTGGAGTTGGCCCGCATTGGTTAGGCAGATGGGGGGAGAGCCGGTGGTGGCGGGAACATTGTAAAGCCTTAACGTCAATGCTTTGCTGAGAGCAATCATGGCGCAAGGGTCACTGTCACGCAAGGGAAGTCAATGTCACGGATGCACGGATTGGTTTGTGCGAAACGCGACGCTCACCCACTGTCTCCTCCCGCGTCCCTCCGCGCCTTGCCCTCCGTGCGTGCGTGCCTGTGCTGCGTTGTGCATGTGTTGCGTGCGTGCGAGCGGGCTCGCAGGGCAAGGAGACGGTGACGGTGGTGGCGGTGGGCAAGGGCAGCGTGGGCAAGAGCGCGACGCTCACATCCCGCGTCCCTCCCCGCCTTGCCCTCTGTTCGTTCGTGCGTGCGTGTGTGCGAGCAGGGCAAGGAGACGGTAACTATAGTGGCGGTGGGGAAGGGCAGCGTGGGCAAGAGCGCGACGCTCAACGCGCTGCTGGGGGACCGCCTCTTTCCCACGTCGGGCTTCCAGGCCTCCGCGCATTTGCGTGAGGCCGTGCGCCAATACGGCGGCGCCACGTTGCACGTCATCGACACTCCCGGGCTCGTCGACGCCGGCACCGTCAACCGCGCCGCGCTCGACGCCATCCTGCAGTGAGTCGCGCCGCAGTGACTCTCCGCGCCGCATGCAGCACGCGCCATGCGGTGTGATGAGAGGGGAGTCCGCCGTGAGCTAAGTGCGGTTCGGCTACATACACATCATCATATGCGCGCACCGCATCCCCATCATTTGCCCAATAATCATCCATCTGCGCACCGCACCGCACTGTGCTCCTTCCAACCCTCGCCAGCTCCATACCCTGCAGCTCTCCACCCTCCGCGCCCCTCTCCCCGCTGCCCATGCTTCCCCCATGCGAGCAGAGCGCTGGCGGGGCGGACCGTGAACGTACGTGGAGCGGGTGGACGCCCTGCGCACCGCAGCATACTGAGCTCCTTTCAATGCCCCAACGCCCAACCCCACACCCACCCCACCCTAGAGCGCTGGTGGGGCGGAGTGTGGACGTGCTGCTATATGTGGATCGCCTGGACGCGTACCGCGTGGACACCATCGACGCGCTCGTCGCGCAGGGCATCTCCAACGCCTTCGGGCCCCAGGTACGCACCCCTGCCACCCCTGCCGCCCCTGCCGCCCCTGCCACCCCTGCCGCCCCTGCTGCCAGTACCCCTCCTCGCCACACTCTCTCCTTCTAGGCACCCTCTTTCTCGTCGTGTTGCGCGTTGCCCCCCCACGGCCATACCTGCCCCATCTCCGCCCATGCCCGCCCCATCTCCGCCCGTGCCCGCCCCATCTCCGCCCATGCCCTCCGTGTCGCATCTGTCTCCCCACTGTTCATCCCATGGCTGCTGTTCGCTCTCGTACCCCACGTGCCGTAGAGGCCACACATGCCCCTCGCTCACCCTCTCCCTCCTGCCCCCTCACCGCTTGCGTGCCCCCCCTGCGTGCCCCCACTGCGTGTCCCCCTTACGTGCCCCCCACTGCGTGTCCCCCTTACGTGCCCCCCACTGCGTGTCCCCCTTACGTGCCCCCCACTGCGTGTCCCCCTTACGTGCCCCCCTCTGCGTTCCCCCTCTGCGTTCCCCCTCTGCGTTCCCCCTCTGCGTTCCCCCTCTGCGTTCCCCCCCTGCGTGGCCCCCCTTGCGTGCCCCCCCTTGCGTGCCCCCCCTTGCGTGCCCCCCCTTGCGTGCCCCCCCTTGCGTGCCCCCCCTTGCGTGCCCCCCCTTGCGTGCCCCCCCTTGCGTGCCCCCCCTTGCGTGCCCCCCCTTGCGTGCCCCCCCTTGCGTGCCCCCCTGCGTGCCATCCAACCCTTGCATGCCCCCCCCATGTGCGGATCAGGTCTGGAAGCGCGCGGTGGTGGTGTTGACGCGCGCGCAGCTGTCGCCGTCGGACGGGCGCGCCTTCAGCGACTTCGTGGCGGCACGCAGCGACGCGCTGCTGGCCATGATCCGCAAGCAGGGCCGCCTGGGGAGGAACGATGAGGTGAGGGGCTCGTGCAGGGGGCGAGGGGCCAAGGGGAAGCCGGCAGAGGCGCACGAGAGAGGGGGCGGCGGGTGGATCAGAATGGGAGTTGGGGCGTGCAGTGGGAGGGCAATGTGGGGGGCGTGGAAGTGCAGCAGCAGGCGGGGCATTGCAGCATGCAGTGAGAGGGGTGTGCAAGGGGCGCCACATGGGGCAAGGGGCGCCGCATGGGGCACAGTGGGAGGGGCAGGCAGGCATGCTTGGAAGAGTTACCCGAATGCCTTGGCAGCCGCTTGACATGGCAGGCAGGCACTGATATCCTTTGCCTTTGCCTTTTGCCCTTTGTGTGACATGTCACTATGTAACATGTGTCGCATGGCATGGCGTGGGCGTGGCTTGGCGTGGCGTGGCGTGGCGTGGCATGGCATGGAATGGCATGGCATGGCATGGCATGGCATGGAATGGCATGGCATGGCATGGCATGGCATGGCATGGCGTGGCGTGGCGTGGCGTGGCGTGGCGTGGCGTGGCGTGGCGTGGCGTGGCGTGGCATGGCATGGAATGGCATGGCATGGCATGGCATGGCATGGCATGGAATGGCATGGCATGGCATGGCATGGCATGGCGTGGCATGGCATGGCATGGCATGGCATGGCATGGAATGGCATGGCATGGCATGGCATGGCAGGTGCCAGTGGCGCTAGTGGAGGGCATGGAGGGGCGCTGTCGAACCAACGACGACGGCGAGAAGGTCAGACCTCGCCCCGCCTCGCCCCGTCTGTCCCCGCCCGCCTCGCCTCGCCTCCCGTGCCTTGCCACGGGCCATACTGGCCACTCTTTGCTGGAAATCCGCGTTGCGCCACGCTTGAACCTCCCTCTCTTGGCCTCACCTGTCTCGCACCCATCTTCTTGCCACCATGCGCGCCCCATATGCCGCTCTGCAGATCCTACCGGACGGCCGCGCGTGGTTCCCATGTCTGGTGGAGGCGGTGGTGGCGGTGGCGCTGAGGAGGCAGCCGGTGGTGCGCGTGGACGAGCGCATGGCGAGGGGCTTCAACCCCAACCGCGCCGGCAAGCTGCTCATCCCCTTCCTCCTCGCCCTGCAGGTCCGCTCCCCCCACACCCGCCCCTTGCACTCCGCCATCCACCACTTGCACCCCGCCCCTTCCTCCCAAACCCCCCTCTTTCACCGCGCCCTTCCCCACCTTGCACCCCGCCTTTCCCCCCTTGCACCCTGTTTTCCCCCCTTTGCATCCCACTCTTCCCCACTTGCTCCCTGTTTTCCCCCCTTTGCATCCCACTCTTCCCTCCATGCATCCTGCCCTTTCCTCTATCACCTCCATCCTTTCAATTCAATTTCACACTTGTGCATCAACCTACCAATTTCTTGCGACCTATGCATACTCCTCACCCTACCCGCATCTGCCATTCTACCCGCATCTGCCATTCTACCCGCATCTGCCATTCTACCCGCATCTGCCATTCTACCCGCATCTGCCACCCTACCCGCGCCTCACCTTGCCTCAACTCTCACCCCACCGGCAGGTGGTGCTGGTGGCGCTGCCATTGAGGCGAGCCATGGAGTGGGACAAGGCTGAGGAGAAGCGGCACCGGCCGCGGTGGGAGGAGGAGGCGGAGGACTACCGCCGCTCCACCGCTGCTGCTGTCGCCCGCCGCCGCATCGCCGCCTTCCAGCAGCAACAGGGCAAGGCCAACCCCAAGTGACAACCAACTCGGATCGTTTAACACTATCACGGCAAACCAAGCAGCAAGGGGAAATGTGTTTTGTGTGGTTGCCATGGGATATACCCCTGTAACGTGATGTGTCGCTGAGTGTTTAAATTAGCCTGTTATGCTAGCAAGAGGAGCCAGATCTGGATCTGGCTGGAATGTGGGCGCGAACATTGTTGGTCGGGTCTGTCAAATGTTGTAGCCTATAGTGAGGTTTGTCTTAGGGGGTACAAAACTTAGGGTTAGCTATATGTACCCCAACCAACATCAATGCATCATCCATTCCTCATTCTGACAGGGTCAGCCGTAGTGATGGATGTCAAATGTTGTAGCCTATAGTGAGGTTTGTCTTAGGGGGTACAAAACTTAGGGTTAGCTATATGTACCCCAACCAACATCAATGCATCATCCATTCTTCATTTTGACATGGTATCAGTTAGGTTAGGATCCTGTGGGATCCCGTTCCGCCGTTCTCCGTTCGTACCACCCGAGCCTGATCCTAGCTCTCGTTCGTCTCCTTCTCGTTGTTACCGAGCCTAGCGCCGAGCCACGCTCTCGTTCGTATCGTTCCAGCCGTCGCACCCGCCCCTTTCCCCCCGTCACGTCGCCTTCCCCCTGTCCCGTCGCAGCCCCCCCTTTCCCCCCGTCGTGTCGCCTTCCCCCTGTCCCGTCGCACCCGCCCCTTTCCCCCCGTCACGTCTCCTTCCCCCTGTCCCGTCGCAGCCCCCCCTTTCCCCCCGTCGTGTCGCCTTCCCCCTGTCCCGTCGCACCCGCCCCTTTCCCCCCGTCACGTCTCCTTCCCCCTGTCCCGTCGCACCCGCCCCTTTCCCCCCGTCGTGTCGCCTTCCCCCTGTCCCGTCGCACCTGCCCCTTTCCCCCCGTCACGTCGCCCTCCCCCTGTCCCGTCGCTCCCGCCCTCTCCCCCCGTCGCGTCGCCCGTCCCGCAGCGCCCGCCATTGTCGCCGCCGCGCCTGCAGCCGTCGCCGCCCTCGCGCGCCCCGCCGTCGTCGCCCGCCGCTGCGCGCGTCGCCGCTGCGCCCCCCCCCCCCCCCCACCCCCCCTGCCGTCGCCCGCTGCGCGCGCTGCTGGCCCCTGCTGCCGAGCGCGCTGCCGTCGCCCGCCGCTGCGCCCGTTCCCGTTCCCCGCTGCTTAGTCCCCTGTTACCTCCCGCTGTCACGCCCGCTGTGGCGTCCGCTCCTCCCCTGTCCCAGAGTACCGCCGAACCCTAATTTGCCTCTCACCTACTGCTGTCCCCTCCCTCTCCGTTCGCGTTCGTTTTCACTATGGCGACTCAGCGTGTCCTTCGTTTCGACGCTGACGGTAGACCTCTTGATTTTTCCGTCTGGCTTCTTCGTGCTCGCCGTCTGTTAGAGAGTCAGGTCCAGGCAGGCGAGACCCTCTGGGCGCACGCTACTGGTGCCCTACCTGCGCCCCCCGACCCTACGCCTTTAGGACCTGCCCCTGACGACGCCGCTAGAGCCCGCTTTGCCACTCAGCGAGCTGACCAGACGGCTTGGACGTCACGTGACGCTGCGGCCTGCATCGCGCTCAGCAGCCTCCTCCCTGAGTCTGAGGAGGTTCACTTCACTCAGGTTCGCACCGCTGCTGCGTACCTCACTGCGATTAAGGCCCGCTACTCTACTCCCGCTGCTGTCTCTCTTGGCCGCCTGTTCCTCCCGTTCCTGTTTCCTGACCTGGCGTCTTTTGAGCGCTCTGCTGACTTGATCGCTCACCTCCGCTCGCTCGACGCTAGTTACCGCGCTGCTTGCACTGAGACACAGCTTGCACTGCTTCCTCCCCCTATGGCGATTACTATCTATTTCATCGCCACTAGCCTCCCTGACCGCCTTGCCTCCGTTCGCGACGCGCTTCTGCTGAAGCACCCTAGTGAGCTCACCGTCGAGGTCCTTGAGTCTGCACTCAAGGACGTCGAGAGCAACCTTCGCTCGGTAGCCGCTGCCTCTGGTGCTGTGCCCCCCCCACTCTTCCACGGGTGCACAGTCCCGCAGTTACCCACCTTTACTGCCTCACTTGCCACTGCCGCTACTGACGCGACTGCAGCTGCTGTTACGACTGCGTCGCGGTCCCGCGGTAGGAGTGGCAAGAAAGGCGGTTCTGGTGGTGGTAGTGGAGGTGGAGGCGGAGGTAGTGGAGGTGGCGTTGCGCCTGGCGGCGGTGGAGGTTCAGGGCCTGGAGAGGCGCCTCGTGCAGTGACTGGTGACTCCACTGCGCCTGCTGGTGGTGGCGACGCCCGAGTTCGTCAGTCGCCTCCTGTACTTCCTGCCCCGGTTGGTGGAGCAGCGGCGTGGTACCAGGCTCAGCGTCAGCAGCAGCTTCTGCAGCACCAGCAGCCCCTCTCCTCCCAGCAGCCTCAGCAGCAGCAGCGGCAGCAGCTGGCTCCAGGGTCGGGGCTGCGTCAGACCCAGCGCGGTGCTGCTTACACTCCCTGCACCTACCAGGTTCTGACAGGCACTCGTCGTGGCCACCCTTGTGGCCGGTTTCACCCCCCTGGTCAGTGCTTTGCTCAGCTCACTGACACGGTTCGTTTGGTCTACGGGGTTGGTGCTCCTGCCCCTGACTGGCTGCCTCTTGTTCAGCGCTACGGCTCCGCTCTGTGGGGCATGTCTGCTGAGCAGTTAGTTGATCTGATTGGTAGTCCCCATGCTATGTATGCTGTTGTTGACTCTAGTGTTTCTGACTCTGTTTACTCTGGTGTTGTTAGCTTAGGTGCTAGCCTTGCTCAGTTGCCTGTTGCTAGTGTAGGTTCTTGTGTAGACTCTAGTCCAGCGGCTACCTCAGAGGACGGTTCGCTGTCGTTCACGCTGGACTCTGGAGCCTCTCACTGCTTCTTTCGTGACAGCACGACACTTACGCCTCTTCCTGCGCCTGTTTCTGTGGCGCTGGCTGATCCCACTTCGGGACCAGTCACTGCGCGTCACACTACCACCTTGCCGTGTCCGGCTGCTCCTTCTGGGTCTCTCACTGGGTTTCACGTCCCCTCGTTCTCCCGGAACTTGGTGGGCGTGCGACCCCTCGTGAGTCAGCACGTGGGTGTGTGGTTTGAGCCTTCTGGAGAGACTGCGGTGTGTGTTGACGGGGACTCTTACCAGCCCCTCGCCACTTTTGCTGCTGAGCCGGGCTCCGGTCTCTACACTCTTCACACTGGCCCGCGCGCTCAGCAGCGACTGCAGCAGCAGCAGCAGCCGCAGCAGCAGCAGGAGCAGCAGCAGCCGCAGCCACAGCCGCCCCTCCTGCCCCCGGCCCCTGTTTTGCCCCCCGTTCGAGTCCTCGCGTCTCACCAGGTTGCTCCGTCCCCCCAGGTAGCTGTGTCTTGTCAGGTTCCTCCGTCTAGTCCGGTCGCTGCGTCGTGCTCCTGCCGGTCGCTTGCCCACCCCACCGTTTTGTGGCACCACCGGCTGGGGCACCCTTCTCCTCCTCGTCTTCGCGCTATGTCTCGTCAGCGTCTTGTCTTAGGTCTCCCGCGTGTCTTGCCGTCGCTGCCGCCGTCCCTTGCACCACCGTGCGGTCCTTGCGTCGAGGGTAGGCTGCGCGCCACCCCTCACTCCTCCTCCCTTCGTCCGGCCACCGAGCCTTTTGAGACGCTGCACTTGGACGTCTGGGGCCCCTCTCCTCGCCCTGGCCCTGAGCGTGAGCGTTTCTTTTTGGTGGTCGTTGACGACTACTCCCGCTACACCACAGTGTTCCCCCTGGCGAGGAAGTCTGAGGTGACTTCTACGCTGATCAGGTGGTTGCTTACCACCCAGGACACTCGTGGTCGTCGTGTCAGCTGTCTCCACTCCGACCGCGGGGGCGAGTTTCGCTCCGGCATTCTCGCTGGATTCTGTCGCGAACAGGGCATTCGTCAGTCCTGGACGCTTCCGGAGTCCCCACAGCAGAATGGGGTTGCTGAGCGTCGCATAGGCCTGGTCATGGAGATTGCCCGCACCTCCTTGACTCACGCCCGTGCCCCCCATTTCCTGTGGCCATACGCAGTCAGGTACGCCGCGCACCAGCTGAACCTCTGGCCACGCGTCTCTCGGCCGGAGGCTTCACCGACCAGTCTTTGGACAGGGTCCCCTGGTGTCGCGTCGAGGTTTCGTGTCTGGGGGTGCTTGGCTCTTGTCCGCGACACCTCCGCGGACAAGCTCTCGCCTCGCGCCGTTCCTTGTGTCTTCCTTGGTTTCCCTGAGGACTCCTCTGACTTCACCTTTTACCACCCTCCCTCTCACCGGTTCTTTGACTCCCGTGACGTCCGTTTCGAGGAGTCCACCCCCTACTACGTCAGGTACCCCAGTCGAGGTCTCCCGGTCCCTCCCCCCCCTCTCTTCCTGACCGCCGCTCCCCCGCCTGCTCCCCCGGTACAGCCTCCCCCCCCTGGTCCAGCCCCGTCTGGTGTGTCTCAGGCTAGCCCTCCCCCTTCGGTAGCCCCCCCTGTACAGCCTCCCTCCCCACAGTCTTCCTCGCCGCCTCCTGCAGGTGCTCCCTCTCGGGAGGTTGGTCCTGCGACTGTCCCTGTACAGGTCTCTGGTTCTGGGGGTGCTGGAGTTGGAGCTGAGCCGCGGGTTGCAGAGGACTCTTGTCTTCCGGGGGCTGGTACTGGTCGTGCGGAGTCTGGGGGTGCTGGTGCGGAGTCTGGGGGTGCTGCGTCTGGGGGTGAGGGTGTCCCTTCGGTTTCTAGAGAGCCTGGGTCTGGAGCTGGTGTTGGTGCTGCCTCTGGGGGTGGTGTACTTGGTGCTTCGGAGGTCGACTCTGGGGCTGCCGCTGCCCCGGACACTACTCCTTCCCCCCACCCCTACCCGACCAGGTTCCAGGCTCGTGTTCGCCGTGCTCGTGAGGAGCAGCTGGAGTTGGAGAGAGAGGAGAGAGAGTTGCAGCGGCTCGAGGAGCAGGAGCGACAGCAGCAGGAGCAGCAGCAGGGGCAGCAGCCGCTGGAGCAGCAGCAGCCGCAGCAGCCGCAGCAGCAGCAGCAGCAGCTGCTGCCGTCTCCTCCTCCTGTCTCGGGTCTTCGGACCCTTGGTCTCCCGTCTCCCTCTCCTTCCTCCTCCCCCTCTCCTCCCGTCTCTGGTCCTCCGCTTCCTCCTCCTGACCCCTCTCCCGCTGTTTTCCCTCGTTCTCAGTCTTCGTTGTCTCCTCCTCCTTCTCAGACTTGGGCCTCTCGTCGCTCCCCTCGTGCTCGTCCCTCGTCTCCTGTTCCCTTCACTGACCTTCGTACAGCCTTCCTTTGTTCTCGTCCACCTCGTCCGTCTCCGTCTGTGCTTCCGTCTCCTCCTGAGTCGGCCCTCACTGTGTCGCTTCCTTCTCCTGTCACTGACTACTACCGCACGTACCGTCCTGTTCTCTCTCGTGTTCTCGCCTCTCTTGTTACCCACCCTCGTGCCTCTGTGTCCTCTGTGTCCGCTCTTACTGCCGCAGTCACTGAGTTTGCCTCTACCCGCCGCCTTGACTTCGCCACCGCTCTTGTGGCTGCTCCTCCTTCCAGTCCTCTGGCCGTCGGGGGTGTGTCTGCCCTTGGCTGTGACGCCCTAGAGGACAGGCAGTTTGAGCTAGAGTTCCTGGCCGCCGCTTCCCCTCATCTCTGTGCCATGCTCCTCGCCCCTGAGGGTGACCCCGACGCCCTTGACATTCCGACTCCTCGCACTTACGCTGAGGCAGTGTCAGGGCCTTGGGCCTCTCAGTGGAGAGCTGCCATGGACGCAGAGATGGCCTCCTACAGATCCACAGGCACCTACGTCGATGAGGTTCCCCCTCCGGGGGCGAACGTAGTCGACGGCATGTGGATCTACAGGGTGAAGCGGCCACCGGGATCTCCTCCGGTCTTCAAGGCGCGCTACGTGGCTAGAGGTTTCAGTCAGCGCGAGGGAGTTGACTTCTTTCAGACCTTCGCGCCCACCCCGAAGATGACCACTCTTCGGGTGTTACTACACGTAGCAGCACAGAGAGACTACGAGTTACACTCTCTCGACTTCTCTACTGCTTTCCTTCAGGGCAGTCTTCACGAGGAGGTCTGGTTGCGTCATCCCTCTGCCTTCACTGGCTCTTTCCCTCCTGGGACCCAGTGGAGGCTGAGGCGACTGGTCTACGGTCTTCGTCAGGCTCCTCGTGAGTGGCACGACACCCTGCGTTCTACCCTGTCTGACCTTGGGTTCCAGCCGTCTTCTGCTGACCCGTCGCTGTTCGTTCGTCGTGGCCCCACACCTTTCTTTGTTCTGGTCTACGTTGACGACCTTGTTTTCGCCACCCCTGACAGGGTTGCTTTGGCACACGTGAAGTCCGAACTGCAGAAGAGACACACCTGCACTGATCTTGGTGAGCTGCGCCACTACCTTGGCCTGCAGATCACCAGGGATAGAGCTGCTCGCACCATTACACTTTCACAGTCACACATGGTGCAGCAGGTCCTTCAGCGGTTCGGGCTTCAGCACTCCACAGTACAACGCACACCTCTTGCTGTTGACCACAGACTCACTGGACCCTTTCCTGACGAGCCGTTCGAGCCTAGTGGTCCCTACGCTGAGCTTGTGGGTTGCCTCATGTACCTGATGACTTGTACTCGCCCGGACCTCGCCTTCCCTCTCAGCGTTCTTGCGCGCTTTGTTGCGCCAGGGAGACACCGTCCTGTTCACTGGACAGCAGCTGTGAGGGTGGCGAAGTACCTAGCGACGACGTCAGGCGTGGGGCTAGTTCTTGGAGGGCAGCAGTCTGTCGTACTTACTGGTCACTGTGACTCCTCTTACGCTGACGACGCTGAGACTCACAGGTCTACTCAGGGGTACTGTTTCAGCCTGGGTTCTGGAGCTGTTTCCTGGCGGTCCACGCGCTCCTCTTCGGTCTCGACCTCTACAGCTGAGGCTGAGATCTACGCTGGTGCCATGGCGGCACAGGAGCTGCGTTGGTTGACCTTCTTGCTCACTGACCTTGGTGAGCGGCCGAGCTCTGCACCGACCTTGTTCACTGACAACAAGGCGTCTATTCTCCTTTGTCGAGAGCCACGACTGGAGAGCAGAGTGAAGCACATTCACGTCAGGTACTTTCTTCTGCGAGAGTTGCAGAGGCGTGGACAGGCTCGCTTTGAGTTTGTGGAGTCCGAGGCCAACACTGCAGACATCTTCACCAAGGCGCTTCCGCCTTGTGACCACCAGAGGTGCTGTGTGCAGTTAGGCCTTGTTGACACTGGTTCTCGTGTTGCTTAGACTTGAGTGTACTGTTTACTTTGCTTTCTATATACCTCTGTTACTTCTTGGACTGGCCTTGTGGCCACTGTTGTTTGTGCTCAGACTGTGTGGTGACGTTGTGATCCACCCTGAGCTTCGTTTCTTGGACTGGTCTTGTGACCGTACTCGTTTGGTTCTGCTAGACACCCCTCACTTAGGCTATGGGGGTGTGTCAAATGTTGTAGCCTATAGTGAGGTTTGTCTTAGGGGGTACAAAACTTAGGGTTAGCTATATGTACCCCAACCAACATCAATGCATCATCCATTCTTCATTTTGACAATGGAATGGGGTAGAGTGGTGGCGATGAATAGGATTGAGCCCACCCGTTTTCCCGGCGGGCAGGTTGCCTAAACATGGCATCACGAAGCGATGGTTGCGGGGGGCTTGCCTCAGTAACGGAAGTTGCAAACTGGCCGAGTCGGGCCTGTTTGGACCACCCCACACACAAGAGCATGTATACAACTATTCTTCCAAGTACAAAACAGGAAACATCACAGGCCAGCATTGCACCATTGTCTGGCAAGCAATCATGGCACAGCCCCGTGAGGTTCCATTTCTTATGCGACTGCTTGTCGCATGGGTGACGTTCTACTACAGCATCTTCATGGACGTGGTCGTCAATTCGGTCGGCGGATTGTTGGAGGCGAACGTATTCACCGACGAGTTGGCCTCGTCCTCTAGCTCTCGCGGCTCCAACTGTATTGCCGAGCGGAAAAGAAGGGCTGGTCAACGTCGGCGGAGATACCACCTGCTGCTAGAGGACCTGGAAGGCATGGGGGAGGATGAATTCAGGGACTTGTTTCGCATAAACCGTGCAATCCTCGAATACATTGTCTCCGGGATGGCGCACTACATGCAGCCGTACGTGGACAGGTACCTCATCACTCATGAGGTAGCTTGTCTGGTTGCTATCAAATACCTTGCCAGCAGCATGTCGTTCGTAGACTTGTCCTCCGTGTTCGGGCTGTCCAAGACCCTGTGCCACAAGCTTGTTGACGCTCTGCTCATGCACTTCCCGTCCGTCTTCAAGCAGCAGTGGGTCCACTTCCTGACCCGTGACGACCTCGATGAGATGGCCGAGGAGTTCCGCGCCATCAAGGGGGTCCCTGCTATAGTGGGGGCTATAGACTGCACACACATTCACATGAAGGGAATGAAGGGGCACAGACAAGAATACTACACGCGGAAGTCATGTTACGCCGTCCAGCTGCAGCTCACATGCGACGCGAGAGGCATCATATGGGACTACCTGATCGGATACCCGGGCAGTGCGCACGATAAGAGAGTATTCATGAACAGCGCGTTACACGAAAGGTTGCACAACGGCGACATAGCGCCATACCAAATAGTGGGAGATGCTGCCTACCCTCTCAAGGATTTCTGCCTGACCCCCCTACATGCACCCCGTGAGGGCCTAATGGAGGACTGGGAGCAGTGCTTGAACTACTGCCAAAGCGTTACGCGCATGGCTGTTGAGGGCTGCATCGGCTCCTTCAAAGGCCGGTGGCGTCTGTTCGCGGGCAGCAACGATTGCAAGCTCTGGCGCATTCTTGCAGGGGCGTCTTGTGGCGTCATCCTGCACAACATGTGTGAAACGATGGGGGCAGTTAGGCGCGTCAATGCATCGTGGGCCAACTTGCCCCGGAACCGGGACCCATGGTGGACTCGTGGCGCGATAGCAGAGTTCAAGTGGGAGCCATGTGAACCGTGCACACAAGCGAATCTGAGGGAAAGGCGCAAGCGGGTGGGCGAGGCTCTGGAGTCGTCCTACATTACTCGGCGTCGCTGCGAACCCACACCTCCTCGGCCGCATCAGGGTTAGTGGCGCTGTCGCCCGCCTGCCGCGACGGAGCCATCCGTCGCCACCGCCTTCGGCGGCGTGCGTTGCGGTCATATTGTCAGCGTCTACGGGGATGTCGTTGGGGGCCGGCGGGAAGGTCGCGGGCTGCTGCACGCGTTTGCGAGCAATCCGCGCGTCCTGCTCCATCCACGCACGGACGAGGCCTTCGAGCCTGGTCATAGCGTCCGAGTGGCAGCCTTTGATTGTCTCGCACACCAGATTGGCGGCGACCATCGTGGCCGTCTCTACCACACGTGGACGCTTCGATGTCGACGTGCCCTGCAGAGGTGGAGCAACACACACAGTGGCCGCAAGAGTGCATGAGAAGTTTCACAGTGCAATTCTTCATGTACCCACTATTACAAGCATAATGAACTCCTTCCAACGAATCCTACAAAATACGGCCCCGGGATACCGTCAATGCAAAATGAACGCACCGGTGAAAGTCGGAGTAGAGTTGCATGGCGCTGAAGTGGACGGGACCGCGAACCCGCACGGCACGTTGACGTGTGCCGCACCACCACCGTTGACAGCGTGAGGGTTGCCCACCACCTTGTTGTTCTGGAAGAGCTCCATGTACGGGTACCAGTGGGGCTTGCACACCGCCCCTTTGCCGCTCGCCTTCTCCCCCTTCTTAATCTGCTTAAACATGGTGGCGAGATTGCGCCACTGCTTCTGCAGCGCGTTCACGCCGTGCACCCATCCAGAATTCTCCTGCTCGAGGTGGCGCACGAGGCGGGCCCAGTACTGGGAGCCCTGCTTCCCGAGGAGGGGCCCGAGCTTGTCCTTCATGAACCAATGTGCAGCCACGAAGTTCGTGTTCTCGCGGGGGGACCACACGCTCCGCTTCACAGGGTGCAGGTTGCGGGTCTTGGCAGCGGCACGAGGAGGTTCCCCGCCCTTCGCAGGAATCTTGGTTCCGGCAGCGGCAGAAGCACGGCCGCGACGGGTATCCGAGGTCGCAGGCTGGGCCTCCTCGGGAGCGTCATCGTTGTCATCGGCGTCCTCATCGGCGTCACCTTCGTCCTCGGAGGGGGATATGCCCTTGTCCTCCTCCTCGCCAGAGTCGGCCTCGTCGTCGCACTCGCCATAATCGGAGTCCTCGGCGTCGTCATCGAAGGCAGCGTCGTCCACGACGCGGGATGAGGCAACCCGGTCGGCATCACGGCGTCCGCGGGTAGGGACATCGCGCGGGGCTTCGAACAAAGTGTCCCCCGCACCAGGCGCGCCTTCGGGCAACGGGCCGGCGGGCTTGCGGCCGGCTGCGTTCCGCTTGTTCATCCAAGCGATATATGGGATCTCGTTGAGATCCCGCGGGCACAAGTCAGCAGAACTAGCTACGCTCTTGCGCTTACGGGCCATGGCTACGGCGTGAGAGAGAACAGCGGAGGGATTACACAACAAGAACCGATGAGCTGGGGTTTGGAGAAGAAGAATGGATTGGTGAGGGAGAGCTGTCAGCGGGGATGGAACGGTGGGCACAGTCGGGCATGATGCGACCGTGTGGCCTGGAGCACTAGTCACAGCTCTAAGTGGGCAGAGCGGTTTTGTTTCCTGCTCGAAATGGGGCCAGTTCAGGCATCCAGGTGCATGCTGTACAGAGTGAAATTTCGACACACTTGCGATTTTCAGAAGGTGGCGGGGCCTCGTGTAACTCGTCCGCGACACCCACGCAATTCACGCCAACCAATGTAAAATACAGTGAAAATCGCATTAGTGCGCTCCGCGTTTGTGACACAGTACAGCATATGCTGTTATGGCGTGTCACAAAGTGATTGAGACACAAATGTCCCCGCAGGAATGTACCTTTACTACGACCTTCAACATCGCGTATAGCAGCAGCCGTTGTTCGCTTGTTACGGCTAATGGGGCTTCGCCAACTTCGCTCGTACTGTTTCACCAAACCACGCACTGCTGGCACCGGCCGAGTCGGCCTACGCTTTGGGACTAGCCCGAACCTCGATGCCAGCCTAGCACTAGCTAGCTCGCACGCACCGCGTTACCGTTTGCATGTTTCGCGTATAAATGATCGCTAATGTCTTCGCTCACATCTTTGTACTCGTTTGACACCTAGTGCAATCCTCGCTACCTCGATCCATTGCACCCGTAACACTTGGTATTCAGAGCCACTTTCCTTTTCGGACCGCGCATCTCCGCACCCCAGGAAATCAACTTTTGATTTTTCACTCGAAGGGACTCACGCCCCTCAGCCCATGGGAGCCGCTGTCCTCGTGTTCTCTCGTAAACGCGTGCAGCCACGACCGTGCCTAGACTAAGCTAAGCCGACGCCCTTCGCCATGGTCGAACATATCGACGTCACGGCGCTCACGCAGGAGCGTTCGAACGAACTGCTGCAGCATCTCTGCGAAAGCTCTGAAGAAGTTGCGGCGCTGACGGCAGAACGAACATCCCTGCAAAATGACGCCGCACGAGCACAACATGCACAATCGCAAGCACCAGACACACCAAGACAACCTGCACGACATGCATCACAACACGGAAGTGTGGGGCGACCTTCGAGCGCAGCTAGTGATGGCGTCGCCCGCAACGACGGAGACGACGACCACGGCGCGACACACCCCGAAGCGACGAATGCGGCCAGAAGCCAGCCTTGCGTCACGATTTCGGTGCCGACTGACGAGTCAGCACGGCTGTCGCCAATGCCGCTGAAGCCGTAGCGTCCGCCTTGCTTTGACCCAAGTCAACGGGGTGGTCCTACCGTTCAGGCGTGGTTATTCACCATGAACGTATTTTTCGACATGAACTACGTCTCGGAGGATACGGCGAAGACTCGATACGCCGTGTCGCTGCTGCGAGGACCCGCCATGGACTGGTGGCATGTCATCGTGACGAAGCCGATGGACTACACGACTCTACTGACACGGGAAGGACAAACCGGACCCTGGGCGCCGTCGTATTTCGTGGAGGTGCCCCAATATCGCACGTGGGACGCGTGGTGCGCAGGTCTGCATGCCCGATTTGAGCAAATTGCGGCTTCGATCACGGCACGTCAGAAGCTCCGCACTTGGCCAACTCGGTTCCGTCCAGAAATATACCAGCGGGTTTCTGGTGCTGTATGAGCAAGTGAGGGCGAGCGCATCGACCGCTACATCGGCGGCCTGAAGCATGAGATCGCCCATGAAATCCAGCTCCGTGGCGTCACCGAATTTCAGGAGATTTTCGCTATGGCGGAGAAACTCAATTTCTTCCGCCGACCGAGATCGGGGTCCTACGGAAGCAGTAGCAACTGGGGACATTGATCTCGTGGGACGAACGAAGGCACCACGATACGTGCCGTCGCCGCGAATGCCGCTGCCGCACCGTTCAAAGGGCGCTGCTTCGCGTACAATCAGCCGGGACACCGCAAAAGCAAATGCCCGGAAAACGCTAAGGGAAAGGGGGAAGCTGAGCAGCAGAAACAGACCAAGCAGCAGGGAAATGCTAATAGTCAGTAGCAGACGAGCCCTCTACTGACAGGTCACGCGGCTCGCCCGACCCAACCGACCCTCACCGAGTGATTGTGCCGGTTCATGCAATCGACCACACCCGGCCGAATAAGGAGGGTAGCGCGGTGGACAGCCCCATACTGAGCCAGCCACAGCCTAAAAAACACTGCCACCGCACGGAAGTCGAGACAGCCACTGGACAGATGTTTACCTGAGATCGATGTAAGACTGGTCGACGGCACGCCACTGGCGATACGGGAACGCGTAGACCGGGTTCGGATTCGATGCGGGGGTAACTTCACGTTTAGCCAGGAAATGCTCGCAACAACCCTCGACGGAACAGACATTTCACTCGTCTATGATTGGCTGCGACGACACAATCCGCGAATCGACTGGACGACGGGTGACTGCCTGTGCGAGTGAACGGTAACAACATCGCCTTACCTCGCTGGGGCTCGCCTGAGTCTTCGTCGGTGCGTGTCAACGCAATTACGATGAAACGCTAGACTACCTGCTCGAGAAGCAGTTTATTCGCCCAAGCTCGTCACCGTTCGCTGCACCGATACTATTCACACCGAAAAACACGGGGGATTTCGCATTTGCATCGAATACTGCACACTTAAAATGAGGGTCTTGATTTGCCAGCGGGAGGTTCAGAAGTTTTTTTTTTTGAACCAGGCTTGCCAGGCGAAAACCTGGATTTCGTGCGGACACTTTTCTTCCGCAGTAACAGCTTGCCAGGGTTTAGGGTTTTGGGTGGTAAATGTGCACCGTCGCTTTAACAAGGCTACCATCAAATCCCGTTACCCCATCCCACGAGCCGATGAACTGATCGACCAACTGCGCACAGCCCGGATTTTTTTTCGAAAATAGACCTTCGAGGAGGTTACCACTAGATCCGCGTCAACCCACCCGACTACCCGAAATCAGCTTTCCGAACACGCTACGTATCGTTCAAATATATGGTAATGCCTTTCAGACTGACCAACGCTCCCGCCACCTTCCAAATGACGATGAACGACATACTGATAAGTGCATCATCGTTTATCTCAACGACATACTGATTTACAGCCATGACAGAGCACAACACCTACAGGACATCGAAGCAGTTTTTAAAATACTGAGTGAGAACCGCCTACTGACGAAAGCCTCTAAGTGCGAGTTTCTACAGGACAGACGAGAGTTCTTAGGGTCACATTATTTCAGTCGAAGGAGTGGAAATAGACCTGAAGTAATAGTACGGACAGATTACCAATCACTACAGTACCTCCGCGCCCAACCAAGTCTCAATCCGCGACAGATTCGCTGGTTGGACTATCTGGAGTCCAACTTCCACTACAACGTCACGTAAAAAAAGACGCATCAAACATCGCCGACGCACTCACCCGCCCAACAACCCAACTCCACGCCATTCTACTCGCCCAAACCAACATGTTATTAACAGGCCTATTCACCCACGGATACCTCACGACCGAAAATTCACAACAACTGGCAGAAGCAAAGGGAGTCAATTACGTAAAAACGGGCACCAACCGCATCTGGGTACCCGCGTACTCACTACTGAGGGAGCTGCTACTGCAGGAGGCACACGACGGGGTTACCTCGGGTCATTTCAGGGTAGAAAAAATACGACAGCAACTGCAGCGGTATTACTATTGGCCAGAGCTGTTGACCGACGTACAGCACCACGTGGGGTCGTGCCCTACGTGTCAAGTGATGAAGAGCTCGTGCAAAAAGAAGGTGGGCCAGTTGCAGCCGATCCCACCACCCGAGCGAGCCTTGCAGCAGGTTACCATGGATTTCGTCACAGGGTTACCTTCGAGCCCTGGGGGTAACGACGCGGTAATGGTCGTCGTTGACAGGTTGACAAAAATGGCACACTTCGCTGCGTGCAAGAAGTCAATCTCCGCCGAGGAAACCGCTCGCATGTTCATCGCAACCGTCGTTCGGCTGCACGGGATACCAGCAGCGATAATCAGTGACAGGGACACGAAGTTCACCAGCAACTTCTGGAAGAACCTCTGGGAGCAGTTCGAGACAAGGCTACAGTTCAGCTCATCGTACCACCCCTAGACCGACGGTCAAACAGAGCGGACGAATCAGACGATAGAGCAGTTGATTCGTGCCACGTGCGACGACCCGACAACATGGGAGCAGCAGCTGCCGCTGATCGAGTTCGCCTACAACAACGCCACGTCAGCGACGACACAGTAGTCCCCGTTTTACTTGAACTACGGGCAAAATCTAACAGTGCACATGACACTGAGTCCGGTCAATCCCACGCCACGCACACAATAATCTGCCGAGATCCTGCAAGCTGCCCGCACCAGAGCCGCAGAAGCAATTAAAAAAGCCAACGTCATCGCTAAACGCAACGCTAACCGCCACCGCCGCCCAATCACATACGAGTCACGAGATAACGTACTGCTCGACACACAGAATTTAAGACTGCCTGTCGTACCGAAGCTTCAATCGCGATACTGTGGACCATTCCAAATTAGCCATATGGTCACCCCAGTTACCGCCCATCTACTGTTGCCGACAGACTGGTACATCAGCCCATCGTTCCACGTCAGTCTCCTTCGACCCTACGTCCCAACCATCAGCCAACTGCCTCGTCATCGCCCGCCATCCATGACTCGCCCTACATCGGAGCCGATCATCGAGCCCGAAAAAATCCTGAGCCATCGGATTCGCCACCCCACAGGCATCAGGAGGATCGAATTCCTCATCCGCTGGAAGGACCGCATGCCAACTGAAGTTAGTTGGGTGCCCCTTGCCTATGTTGAAAACCACCCTGCCCTGCAGTTTTACGTGAGGAGCCGGGGTTTGCGCGATATACACGCACTCGCGTAGCGGAGGGGGCTTCTTGAGGGGGGGGGGGGGGGGGGGGGGGGGGTAGTGTAAGGAATTTTC